CGCGGGGCGTACTTTGACGTCACTGCGTGCGTCGACTGGTGGCACTCGAGTATTGGTCAGACAAGTTGCATCCGACTGAGTACGCGGGGCGTACTCAAATTACGCGGGGCGTAATTGACTTGTTAAACTTCTAAATTGCGTAACTTTCGCATACGAGCTCCGTTTTCGACGTTCTTTATATCCACGTGAAGGTCAGACCATACTCTACAACTTTCATTTAGACTCCGTCGGCTAATTTTGACTTTTATTTTTATTATTTATTTTTAGAAGGCCGGGACAGAAAAACTTCGTTATAAATTCATAACTTCTTCGTCTGACGTCCGTTCTCGCCTAACTTTTCATTGCTTCGCTACTAACAACAAGATCTTCGATTCTCATTTAGATTGTTTCGGCTAAAAACCGCTCGATCTCAAATCGAGTATTCGGGCTGCATACTGCTAAGTCGAAACTTAGAAAAATCATAACTTCCTCATACGAAGTCAGATTTGGGCGTTCCTTTTATGCACGCTTCGGTTTAACGAAATCTACGACTTTCGTTTAGATCGCTAAGGCTAAATATCGCTCTATCTTAAATTCATATTTTACGTCATTCGGCGTCGTGTCGGTTCTGTCGCGAAACTTCGACAGGTCATAACTTCTTCGTTATAACTCGGATTTTGGCATTCCTTATATCTTCGGAATCCTTGTTTCGACCACTACAACTTTATGCAAAGATGTCGGGCTTATCTCACACTTAAATTTTGATGCTTATTTTATTCTTAATTTATTAAATTATAAAATTAAGAAAATACACACATAAATCACATAATTCAAATAATTCACAAATAATACATTCTTATTATTTCAAGTTGAGTTACAAGGTTAACCTAGACTATTACATTGCTAAAAATGGCAAGCCTAGAAACACGGGCGTTACAGTTACTTTATAATATTCATCATACTTTGAATGAAAATTTATAAGTCCTTGTCTTACCCGTTCGGCTAACGACCCTCCACCAGTCAAGCAAGCGGTGGGTGAGAGTAGACACCCATTAAGTCACCATTTTATAGGCAACAACCTTATACCCACCTTATAGACCGGCTTCGTGAATGAGGCGTACTAGCGGTAAGACGACTTTGTTCTTATACATATATATATATATATATATATATATATATATATATATATATATATATATATATATAATTATTAAGTCATCATAATATAAGTATAAGGATTGAATTTTAACTTTTAAAATTCTAAGGGTTGGAACTAAAGTTTTAACTTAACTTTACTTGTTCCAAAACTTGAGGGCAAGTTTTGTAACTTTCAAAACTTTTCATTTCTTGTAACTTATGAGTTTAATAGAGTAATAAAATGAAGACTCTTCATTTTTCTAACTCTTGTGTTCTTTTTAATGGTTTTAATTCAAGTGTGACTCTTGGTTTTCCATAACTTGAGGACAAGTTATGGACTCCATTAAAACACATTATGATCAAGAATTAATCTACCACATAGGTTACAAATAATTCCTATGATCATCTAAAACATCATAAGAACAAGAACATGAATATGAACACATTCATAAATCAAAATTACACTTAAAACTTTGTAATTTTGATAACTAGTTGTTGTAAATGAATTAGAAAGAACATTACACCATCAAAACAAGTTTTCAAGTACCAAAACAGTTTAGGGTAATGTTTCTAGTCCATTTCCAGCAACTAAAGTCGAAATTCTGCAATCTGTTGACCCTACTCGCCGAGTGCATGAACTTACTCGCCGAGTAGGTTGAAGATATTCGTGAACTCGACGAGTCCATTCGTTAGACAACAAGATTTTCGACTTTTTTCAACTTTTAAGCACAAATAAAAAGCAAACAAGCCTAGGCTCTGATACCACTGATGGGTTTTGAGCATTCTAACACTTCCTAAGTGTACATGCAACCCTAATAACCTTGGATCTATGTTTGTCTAATTATCATGCAAAGTTGAATTCCAAGGCTATATTCCTATCTAGCATACATGGGGAACAATTTAACTTGAATGATAGATAGAATAACTTACCTTGTTGTTGCTTGTGTTCCTTGAAACCTTATGAGCCTAGCACCCCAAGTGTGATGCCTCAAATGCTTCACACAACACCAAATTCTCTTGGAAAGACTTTTGAGAGAATGCACACTTCTTGAAATTGGCCTAGCCCTCTTGTTTCCTTAGTGTAGCCGATTTTGGTGGAGAATGAGATCCCTTATATAGTGTTGACACATCTAGGGTTACACCATGTAAACCCTAATGTGTCATGACTCTTCATTTCCATGACCCATGGGTTTGTAACTCCCATGGAGCATCCATGAAGCATCCTATGGGTAGAACCCAACTTGATAATCCATGGAGCCTCTTAGCCCACTATACAAGATATGGATGATTTGCATAATCAACCCATATATTTAATTAGTTCTCTTTTGATCACTTAATTAATTCTAAATTAATTATTGATCAAACTAATCAAATAATCTTAAATATTACTAAAAGAGAAACTTTATGACATCATCTTAAATAATCTGGACCATTGATTGTATTTGAATCTTATTTTTTCCACCCTTAGATCAAATTGCTGACATCATCTTCCCCATATGGAATGTATTTAATTCCAATAAATGTTTTCCAATCATCAATCAATAATTTACATTCATTGAAATGGAATGTATTTAATTCCAATAAAAGCTTTCCATATTTTACATCTTGAATTTTTAGTTATGAAGATTTTAATATGATCAATTTTAAAAATATATTACTAACAAATCATTTCAATCAAGGCCTTAATATCAACCATTAATACAAATCCGTTTATATTAGTAAACCAGTAATATAAAATCTTTTTTTTATTAGGAAATCATTAATACCGAAAAATCATATTCTAATTATCACATACATATACGATTCATCATTGAATCCGCGATTCACATTTATTTTCAATCGTTTCTTTTCTTCAAACATTCTCCTACAACATCGTTAATATTGCTTATAACTTCCATCATCATTCTCTGCTATCAACATTAGCTCTTGTGCGCTAGAAGGTCAGTACCTTCTTTCGCTTTTTATATTTTTTTCGATCATTTTTTGTTCCTATATCAAATGTATGTATTCATATATTTCGATTTTCTTTGTCACAAATTACATGAAATCAGTTAACTACTTTTCTGAAACTTTTCAAATAAACATGAAAAGGTATTAGGTACCTTTAACAAAACAAAAATTAACTATCCTGGTAACTGACATTAATTACGAAAATGTTACTTTTATATATTAGAGATGATTATGATTTTTTTTTAATTTTTATGTCATAAGAATCTGGTTAATTTTGGCATGATTTTAAAATATCATTGAAATTATTATGTTTTTAGATATCATATCAACCTACTTTTTTATCTTCGTATAGTAACAATAAAATTTATTAATTTACACAACAAATATAGATATTTCAAATTTTGTAATATTATTATACCTTACAAAATACAACTCCTTCCAAAATAAATTTTCGTCAGTAATTTCATCCATAATTTCAACAAATTTAAATTTGTATTTTCTTTATATAATTTTTTTTAATGATCCTGATTTTTTTTCTCCAAAAGTATATCAAACATTTACGTTTTAGATAATGTTGCCCTATTATAATTATTATTTTCCAAAAGTATATCCGTTTAATGAGGAATTTGATATAATAAAGGAAGTGAATGTTAATTAAAATGAGATATATATTCCATAATTATTACATGAGTTTATTAAAAAAATTAATATCAAGGTGTAAACATTAAACATTTTTAAAGTGAAATTTCAGAATACATACAAACGATAATGTTGTACAATGAAATATAAAATTGAATAGACTGAAAAAAAAACACTATTAAAGCAGTCAATTTTGAAAATAACATAGTTATGAAAAATTATAAAGTAAGATTAAAATTATAAGATATTAGGAGATTTGTAAAAAGTACATTTAGTAAAAGCGTTACGGTTATTAGAAAAAATAAGACCGTTAAGATTAGTGAAAATAGAATATATAAACTAAATTATCACAATAGTAATGAAATGTCATTATTTGATATTTCATATAATTGACAGATATATCAAAATAAATTGATATACTAAAATTATTCAAAGTTGCGCCAAAATTTTTGCGAACACTAAATAAATAAGAACAAACATAAAAACTAGCATTTATATTTATAATCAATTTAAAATAAATCAATCATGATTTAGAAAAGAATCTCCATTGATGATATACTAAAATTAAATCTATATAACATTTAACACTTTATAAATTATATTACATAACTTTATTTGAATAAATAAAATAGTTGTTAATATTTAATGCAATAGAAAAAATGGTATATTGATTGTCAATATATGTTTAAATTAGGTAACATTATTATGCAATGAACGTCTAATTAAAATGCTTATAAATATATAAATATCATAACTATATAAGACGATGAAAATCGTTCAACTAATAAAACAAAAAATGATGTCTACAAAGAGATCTTTCAATGATTATATATATTTATCGTTTTCAATGTATTTTCTACATATTTCAATAATACCAATAACCATATATTTTTTTTATAATCATTATACAATATCTATAAACGATTATATGTTTTTTTATGCGTTTCCCGCGGGCTATAATCTAGTATTATTAATATATTAGAACTTATAATATATTAATAATCTCCAAGTGTTATTTCTCTCATTTAGTCTATCAAATTGCATGGTACCATGCAACCCACATGGACCATACCGGGTCGGATCAAGTACATACCAGAAATAGTTATGAACTTAGACACCTTATCCAACACATTTTTACGTGCCCTTAAATTTGTGTCACAAAAAAAAAAAAAAAAACACGGAGGTCACTTATTAAAAAGAGCGTGTCGTATAAGCATGTCGTTTTATAATTTTTTAGGAAACGTGCGTCTCTGTTAATAACAAAGGGTGGAAACGAAATCCCAAAAGTTAAAAACCCCGCCTTGTGTTCTTTTCTCCCTTGTTTTCACCAGTCGAAAATCCCTTCTCCTTATAAGCCCTATGTTCGATTGACGCCGAAGCAGGTTCGATTCTTCTCTTATATGTTATCTTGAGCTTGATTTTCGATATTAGAATAGAATGCAGGGGTTATTTTTTAACTATCCTAAATTCCACAAAATCGCAGGAACTATTCTTGCTAGGGCTTTTTTCAAGAACAAAGCTCTCGGTGTTCTCTGGCCTCTACAACAATCATCGATCATGACTGTGCTTGAATAGTTGAATGTACCGCTTTCTCAACACGCTTTCTTGCTCGTATCTGTCTCTGATTATCCCTCATGACTTCCACGTACAAACATTATCGATCATGAAACGTCTTCAAGGTAATTGTCATTCTCCCTCTTCTTCTCTATTCTCTTTTGTTACGGCCGAGCAACCTACCGCCTCCACTACCGCCATCACACCCTTCTACTATGCTCTTCTTCCATCACTCTATGAGGAAAAACCTAAAACCTTCTATCGCCATCACATCGATGCTTCACCTACTGAATCAATAGTTACGACAACTACCTCGTCATCCAACGATCCCAAGCAAAACCTAAACCAAGTCATCAATTCAATTCAGAAAACCCTAGGAACCATCCATCGGCTCTGCCTCACTGACTCTTCCTTCAATGTTTCCTCCCAACTCCCGCTTCGATAAGGGAGGAGGCGACGGCGGATATGATTCCAATGATAGCAAGGGGTTTAGCTCTGGTCCTCCGGGTTCGATTCTTTGTTCTAATCTCATTTTTCATGTACCTTTACGCTGTAGGGTTTGTGATTGTGGTTATTGCTTTGGTAACCACGTGTTTATCTCTAGACGAGCATGTCATTTGAGTGAATTCGAATAAACTTAGGTAATACTGAAAAACGAATCTTCTAATTGTTTCAGAGTTGTTTCAGAGCAACTAGAAAGGGATTATTATAGGAATAGGAAGAATTCTGTTTTATGATTAAGTGGGTTGAATAAATTGTAACAAACAGTTTAGGTTTAATTTGTGCTTTCACTCACAGATACACGTGCACAAAATGTGTGAAGTACTTAATGTGTACATGATCTGAAAACAAATGTGTTTTGTGGTTTTAAATCAATAATGATTTATATACGTCCTCAGATCACCTGTTTATGGTTTACTTTTCTGTAAGTGCAGATTATGGACAAAAGCCTTATTCAACCACTGTTGTATCTTCTGCTTATGGTTATGGCAACCCAAGTAAAAATATCAACATCCCAAATGGAAGGGTAGGTGTGATAATTGGTAAAGGTGGAGAGACTATAAATATCTTCAGATGCAATATGGAGCAAAGATCCAAGTTACGAGAGACATGGATTCAGATCCTAATTCACTCACCCGAACTGTAGAGCTAACAGGTACTTCAGAATCAATAGCAAAGGCTGAGAAGTTGATTAAGGATGTGCTTGCTGAGGTATAGTTGATATCAACATGATATGATTTCCATTTAGTTGTGAGATGCTTTGACTAGCTTGTATACATTTAGATGATCTTAATTCTTGATTTTCTTATTCAGGCCGAGTCAGGCAGTTCTGGCATAGTTTCTAGAAGAATGCCTGGTGAGTAAGCTGGTGCTGAACAATTTGTGGTGGTTTAAGTTTACTAGCCATTTGTTGCAATTGGTCTTTAACTTTTCCATTTCTTGTTCATGCTTCTAGGTTGGTCTTATTATTGGTAAAGGGGGGAGACCATAACGAATATGCAAGCCAGTACAGGAGCTCGTATTCAGGTCTAGTTAAGTTTCTCTTTTCTCTATGAGCCTCTCTTCTATATTGAGTGTTAAAGTCTCTCTTTTGAGGACTACACTTGACAAGAGAAATGATTATGGCTGAAAAGATTATTGTACCTGTTATCAGGTGATACCACTACACCCACCCCCTGGTGATACTTCAACAGAGAGGATAGTACAGATAAATGGATTCAGTGAGCATATTGAGGCTGAAAAACAGTTGGTTAATGAAGCAATCAGTGAGGTATGTGCAGTTTTACAAGGAGACCAAGCATCAGCTTGGTTTCAGAAACTATATGCTAGATTGCACTTGCTTTTCAGTATACATAGCATCTTTATTCTTACTTGGATAATATAGTATACTTTGATTGCTCAATATGTGAATCCAACAGCTGCATGATTCAAAATGAAACTCTTTAAAATGGTTTTTTTTTAAAGAACTTTCTGCTAATTTAATACAAATTGGGTATCTTTTAGTTAAAGGTTCTTACACCTCCCATTTATGACCTTCTTAAACTGTTATTGTAGAATATATCTTTTAGACAAATTGGGTTTTTTTAAAGAACCTTCTGCTGGTGGCTATGATTACTACAACCAGCAACAAGCTCCCCAAACCCAACCACCTGGCGGCACCGTGGCGGCAACAGACGGGTCTGGTTACGGAATAAACTGCTAAATTATTGGGCAGAAAATAGCATGTATTAAAAGATTTGTACATGTGCTTTAAACACTTTAAAATTTGGTTATTTTTATTAAAAAATCATCACATGGTTCTTGAAAACCGTGACAAGGAAGAAGAATGACACACACCCCACAGTTGTATAATTTTGCTTGGTACCGACTACTGAGCCCCAAGCCTTCCAACAATGACAAAAACCATTCAAACACCAACAGGGCTAGGAGTCAGCTCCTGGAAACTCATCTGGCAAAGTTGTTTAAACAAAAAATGGAAATATTCACAAAAGTCCAACACACACAGGTAGGTACTACTCTAGATAAAAATATCCAGTTCATCAAACTGATAATTAATGAACATTGCAGGAATCTGTTGTGATGAGCATCGTGAACTTTGCCTGAAATATTAATATCAATATAAATATTATCATCATCCCCAAATAATTCTTCACCCATGTCCTGCCACCCAATTTTCCAAAACTTAAACTACAAAACTCTTCAAATTTTTTTTTTTTTTTTTTTTTTTTTTAATCTTTTAAGGCAATATACCTGTTTGGATAAGATTCAATAAACCAATTCAAAATCAGATATTTATCTGTTTTTTTTTAAGGAACAAACAAATCTACTCCATCAACTTGTAATTTTTTTTTTTCGCAATAAGTAGTGTCTGGATATAGTGTTGGATAATGAATAAATGATTTAATCTTAACAGGCTACTCAATTGAGCCCTAAAATTTTGAAGTCTGAAGGGGTCCCAATTTATCGACCTTCTCAGTGTTGTTGAGAGTTTATTGTTACTTTTCCAAGGGCATATCATGCAGGATTCAGTTGTGGTTTTAACTGTGTGGAGGCTGTCAATGTGGCGCCTGTTGATTGGCTGGAACATGGACAAGGTGTAGTCGAGGTGTACAGTCAGCAAAGACGAAAAACATCAATATCTCATAAGTCGTTATTAGCTTGAGAAAGGATTAGGGCTTTATGGGAAGCTTGATTTTTGAATAAAGAAACTTGCGAGAATTTATATTGGAAACATGTTTGTGGGAAGAATGGGATACTCACCAATGTTGTCAAGGTAAAAAAAAAAACTTTATTTATTTATTTATTTATTTGTTGTTTTCTAATGTTCTTTTAATATAATAATTTCAAATGAGAGTTGAAATGGAGCTAAAAAAGGATCTAGCACCTTCAAACCAGTTTTCAGTTTCAAAAAATGGAAGATGATTTTGAAAAACCTAATGAAAAAGAATGTTATCTATGTTTTTATGACTTGCACATGTCAGCAACCTCCGGTACATGCTTGCTAGATTGCTTCGTGTGTCTAAGACATGGGTGCTCTATAGATTTGAATCTTGATAACATTGGTTCAACAAAAGTAGAGAATAATGAACAATTTGATAATATTGGTTGAATTTGTTGAAGGTATCTGAACGAAAATAGTAAGCAGTCCTTACATGTTGATGTCATGCATTTGTTGACTTGGGCTCTTTTTGGTTTGGTTTGGTTTTCAATGTTATTCATTGCATGCATGCTAAAATAAACACTAAATAATTTGATAATCTAGAAAACAACCAACCTTTTATTGTTTTGACAGGAAGTTGAAGTCGCTTTCAACAACGGATCTTTTTTACTTTGGATGTTTTCTTATGCTGGCTTCTGGAATTATTCTATTACAAACAAACAGGTTTAGTAAGGGAATCTAGTCCTTAATCAATTGTTTCTGTTCTTAGGTTTGTTTGTGGTTCATTCCTAAGACTTGCCATTGATTAGACTTACATGGATCAAATCTAAAACTTCAACCAAGGGCAGCATAGGAATAACTCAGCAACAAGACCTGTTATTGATGAGAAATTACATATAAAGTAGATAAACTAAGGAGCTTATTCATACATGTTGTACTGGTATATATTTATTAACTTCTCTAATGTTGTTCTTTTACAATATTGTTCTTATACAGGTGGTTGGAATTCGACCTAAAGTTGGTTGCTGATATAGGAATATTGTGTGCTCCAAATGTAAGAAAAATCATGTTTTTAAGTGTTATTAGTGTTAACATATAGTGTTAGGTAACTTGTTTGACATGTGATTTTTTTTAAATGAATTTTTGTTAACGATTATTTGTATGACATTAAATTTATACAACGAATTCTATTTTTTGTATATTATATTTTAATTTCTATTATGAAACATTAAAATACAAATTTAATCTGAAAATAAGTAAATCTGTAAATAATATTTTTTTTAAACATTTAAAATTACGATACGCAAAAATGTGTGTCATCTTCATTTATGACATGGCCTTTCTTGATAGGGGCTTTCTTGATACGCATTGCGTGTCATTACCACGCGCGTCGTAAGGTTACGACACGCGAATGCATGTCGTCTTCCTTTATGACAGGGCCTTTGTTGATACGCATTGCGCGTTGTAATTGTGAGTCGTAAATGAGCGTCATAAATGCGCGTCGTCTTTTTTTATGACAGGGCCTTCCTTGACGCGCATTTGCGCGTCGTCTAAGCCTTTTACGACGCGCAATGAGCGTCGTAAAAGGCTGTTTTTCTAGTAGTGGAAAATTGAGTGTTATAGAATTATTCACATTTTAAAGTACCTTATGCGACGTTTGAAGTGTAGATTTTGGTCGTTAAAGTCTGTAGATTGTTGTTTAACTGTTTGTTTTTTTTAAATGGTTGTAACTTTTTCATATGAACTCCGTTTTTGATGTTTAATATATCCAAATAATCGTGTTTTCATGTACTATCTGTTTACTGTGTTATCCATGCATAATAATACTTAATACATAAATCTTGTTGCAATGTATCAAATCATTACTTATGTATAATGAATAGTGTTTTCCTATTAGCGATCTACATCCATCGAATACTCTAATGTTATTTTGTATGCATTTCCAAGTATAAAAACTACAATTGAATTTAATAGAGTGGAATATATTACATTAGGTCTATTACATATAGTGTTCATGTTTAATCTGCGAACGTTAACATAATTTTCCTGTTTGTCTCATAGCTATTGTGTCTCCAACAAAGAGGAACAAAGGAACGCCTTGTAGTGGATTGTGGTTGTGAAAATAGCAAGAAAGGGTTACGTGGTGGTAATTACCAACATGAAGGCGTGGTGATCGTCAAAAGCTTGTAGAGAGAACTTTAGACTGAATGCAACGAGGAAAAGAGGGGAAAGAGGATGAAATTGTATTAGGCTTTGACAGTAATGTTTGTCTTTCTAGTGACATTCAAGTTGTAATAGAGGCAAAAATGGCAAACAGGAGGAAAATATTCAAGTGTAATTTTCTGAAGGAAGGAAGGACCAAAATAGTGGAAAAGGACCACACCTGAAAATCACTAGTCTAATTGCTACTAGTTCTATTTCACCAAAGGAAGGACGACATCCAATCTACCAAACCAATTAATGGTTAGGATATTCATGGATAAAGCATAAGCAATGACACCACCAATAGCGAAGACACTTAAATGCATCGATTAAGCATCACTGCTATTGATGGTGGCGTCACTTAAAGGCTTGATTTCTTGTAGTGTGGTGATAATAATAGCATCATACACATACACATATATATACATGCACACATATGATAAAGGAAAACAACAAGATAATAATAGCATCATACACATGCACATACATATACATGCACACATATGATAAATGACAACAACAACAACAAAAACAACAACAACAACAACAACAATAATAATAATAATAATAATAATAATAATAATAATAATAAACTTCTTAATCCCTCGGTGATTACTTTGTTGATTTCCGATTGATCTCCCGCAAAATGAAAAAAAAATATATCATTGATTCGTCGCTAATTAGCGACGTAATACTATTGGATAAGATTATTTTTTTGTCGAACACCTTTCATACAAATAAAAACTACGGAATTTTAGTTTTTAGCTATAACTACTTTTCAAAAAAAATAATAATAAGGAATTGATAAAGGTTATTATGAACCTCTTGAAAGGGTAAAAGTAGAACGATGGTTGTGCTTTAAAGCATGATTGTCAAAATCAAGATCCTGATCATATGATTGTACAATCATAGATATGAAAAATGATCTAGATCATAAATGAATCATATTTATAGTAGGATCCCAGGTAGGATCGTAAGATCATAAGTAAGATTACAGGATCGAGATTCGATTCGATCCTACTTTACATTGATTTTTTTTTTCAAATAAATATTTTTACGAGTTTATGTTTTTTATCATTTACTAATTTACCTTGACTTTGAACTAATATTTTGAGTGTTTATAAATTTTTAACGAAAAACTACTTATCGTAAGATT